TTTTGTTATGTGGGAAGGTTCCTGGTTGCAGTGAGATGGTCAGCATAAATTAGTATTTACATAGCTCACTAATACTATGGGAGGGCACCCCCTTACTCAATTGATGTTGAAGAGAGCTATAGCCTGGGGTTCAGAAAGATGAAAATCTGCTCCTGCAAAGTGACATTTGTCCTTTATTAGCAGTCAGGCTTGAAGATGTTAATATTATTCACTCCTGGGTCTTTCCTTTCTCATAATAACATATTCATTTTAGTAATCATTATTGAAAATGATTTAAACTTAATTTGAGATTTGCCAATGGACTGATCCCTAGGCAGTGTTGGGTTTATTTTGAGTGAAAATTATATTTCTTTATAACATTGTATAACTTGAACCAATTTATTTTGTGTATTATAGTCTTTCCATAATTCTATTGTAGAAAATATTTCTTTGACATTTCAGATGTTTGAATTCTGAGTTCGTCAAGAAGAATTTTTATGATGTCCTCTACATTTTATACTGTTGCCTAAACATTTTGCCAGTTCTCATCAAATGTAAAATATGTTCAAATAAAAGACAAGTACACATAGTAAATCTCAATTTAGGGTACAATGCATGAGTGGGAAAAGGCATTTTCACCTAAATAACTCATAGAATCAAAGAGTTGGAAGAGACCTCATGGGCCATCCAGTCCAACCCCCTGCCAAGAAGCAGGAATATTGCATTCAAATCACCCCTGACAGATGGCCATCCAGCCTCTGTTTAAAAGCTTAAAAACTCATTTAGTCACAAACATTTTTCTCATATTTCACCGCTCCCTTATAACCAGGAAGATAAATAAATGAAAACTTAAACTTAACTGATTTTCTGGTTTGTCATTATGTGCAAATTAGGAACCATAATTGAAAATAACTACTTAATTATATATTTTAACCAGGTTGCATTGAATGACAAACCAGGGAACTACTTTAGCAAAGCTGAAAAATGGTATATTAATTTTGATGGTTGTTTGTGAAAAGGTTTTGAAGCAGCATTTCTTTGCATTTATAAATAGATTTATATTTATTCCATATTTGACAAAATCCGGAATATATATTTGAAGACCCATGATTGAGTTTGACATGTTCACAAAAGACAGACAGTAGGGTTAAAGCACACAATTTAATATTTGCATCCTGATTTTGGGAAACTGTAGTGGTTCATGCTTTTGAACATATAGACCTGTGTGATATTTCTTGACTTGTGGGAGACCTCCTTAGACCTTAGCATCATTTCATTACCTTTGTTCGTTCATTCACATATATCCTCACTTATCAAAATGGAAAAAGTCTTCTGAACAGTGTCTTTTTTCCCCTCTCATGATTACCCTATTTAGTAATGCTGGTGGCACTTAGCAATGTACTACATATACACATTTGTGTTTATTAGAAATATTTATGAACTGATGGGAATAAGTTAAGAAGCTCTTCGGCCGTCATAGGCCTTCTCCTTAATATTTTGATTATTTTGATTAGGGATAGAAATATTTCTTAAATATATAAATAAATCAGAAATGGACTTTGCTGTGGAAGGTATGCTTATGTCACAGTAATTTAGTAGTTTTCAAAATTAATTGGATTTTGGGTTGGATTCAGATTTAATTATTGTTAGAACAGCACATTCGTGACTAGCTTCAATCTCATTTTTTTCATTAGGTCTACTTTAGAAATAAGTCTGGATCCAATCTTCTCTTTCTTCCAAAGGCCCTTCCAGACAGGCTCTATATCCCAGGATCTGATTCTAGGTTTTCTGCTTATCCCACTTTATCTGGCAGTGCGGACTCATATAATCTAGTTTAAAGCAGAAAACCTGGGATGTAGGGCCCGTCTGGAAGGGCCCCAAGATAGCAGAATTTTAACACTGATTTTAAAAATCTTGCCCACATTACCTCGAGTTGTCAAGAATGGAAGTAATATACAGTATTTTTACCACTTAAGCATATTCTTTGGTTTGAACTGTCATGACTTGTGTTTCAAAAAGTGAAGCATATAGTTCCACCTGATGGGCAAAATGGGAATAGCAGCCTACTAAAGGTTTAACCATGAAAAATGATTTGTTTTCTTAAAAGGATTTTATTTATTTATTTCTCAAAGCATGTTGCATACACGACAATGTCTATGCAACAGAATTGCTGATACCTAGGCAGTTGATAGACAGACAAGGTAGATTGTTTTCAATTACCTTTTATATTGGCAAGAGAATAAGGCTGGTTAGTTACTAGACTCGGCTCAAATTTCATATAGGAAATAGATCATGTTTTTCAAATAATAGTACTTATCAGAATAATACACCATATTAGTGTACAACTATGTCATACTGTATTTACTGGTTAATTTTTACAATTTGGCCTGGCATCTCTTTGTTGCGATGTATATGCCTTGAATGCTTTTCTTTTTTAAAAAAAAAAAACCCAGGAGGTTATAGTAATTGATTGAGAGAAGATTGTAGGAAAAAATATTTCTTTATATGAGCCTGTCTGAATTTTAAGATGGGGACAAGGACGGAGGATGACTTCTCCCATTCCCACCACAATCACAGACATATTTGGCGAAGACATAAGAGGCAGCTTCCTTAGATGGATGCATTATTTTCAGTTTTAATTTTACATTTGGCCTTCCCACAGTTTTAATTGTGTGTTGTCTTATTGTTAATGTTTCATATTTTATTGTCCATGTTTTTTATTTTAATTGCTTGTATTGTTGTATTTGGGCTCAGCCTCATGTAAACCGCACCGAATCCCTTGAGGAGATGGTAGCGGGGTACAAATAAAGTGTTGTTGTTGTTATTATTATTATTATTATTATTATTATTATGGATACTGCAAGGCCATGGACATTGCTCCTCTGTTCTCTTTCCCCTGGAATACAAATATTTTATTTAAGTGGGACCCTGGCTCTAAACCTGTGTGGCAGAGGAGTCTCTTAATATGGCGTGTTGTCCCTTTTATCTTTTTTAATTTTGTTTTAAACTATTTTCATTTTGTGTTTTTATTATAGTTGTTTATTTAAAAAAAACTTTTTTGTAAGATTTTAATTATACACTAGCTGTACCTGCCATGCGTTGCTGTGGCCAACCTTTCCTCTTCCTCTCCTTCCTTCGCTCCCTCCCTCTTTCTTTCCTTCCTTCCCTTTTTTTCTTTCCTTCTTTCCTTCCCTTCTTCTCTACCCCTTTCCTTCCTTACCCTGCCTTTTTCTTCCATCTCTACCTCTTTCTCTCCTTTCTTCCTTGACTTCTTTCTTTCTTTCCTTCCTTTGTACTTTGCTTCCATTCTTCCTTCTCTCTTTCCTTCTTTGCTTCTTTTCCCCTTTCTTTCCTTCTTTCCTTCTCTCCTTCCTTCCCTCTTTCCTTCCATCCCTGGCGGCGGATGAGGCTCCCCCCCCCCGCCCCCCCGCTAGACCCACCATTGCGCTATCTATTCCTAGCTCCTGGTCTGGCCAGAAGAGGGAGAATGGTTGGCGGTGCCTCTCATGCTTGCTGTGTCTTCACGCAGAAGGGGGCGGGGCCAGGGACATACACTGTGTCATTTTCTATCTTTTTTTGGATTTTAAAGTTCTTTCACTGTTTTTTGGTGATTTTTTGAGTAATAGTCACTCTATGGGTTAAACAGTGGTTCTCAACCTGGGGTCCCCAGATGTCTTTGGCCTACAACTCCCAGAAATCCTAACAGCTGGTAAAATAGATGGGATTTCTGGGAGTTGTAGGCCAAAAACATCTGGGGACCCCAGGTTGAGAACCACTGGTAGTAGGTACCCTGTGGCCAAATTTGGTGTAATTTTGTCCAATGGTTTTTAAGTTATGTTAATCCCACAAATGAACATTACATTTTTATTTATATAGATTGTTTGTTTCTGTTTGCTGTAAACTGACTTGATTGCTGTGTTGGGAAAAAGGTGGGGCATCAATATAATGCAATACAAAGTAATGAACTTGCAAGTCAGCCACTTTTGACTCTTTTCCCCCAATGTCGCCTTTTTTGCTTTGCCACTACCCCCCACCCCAACACACGGATACAGAATATTGAAAAAGAAGGTTAGAAATGTCATTTGGATTCAGATGACTCTCAAATCAAGAGACATTCAGCTGATTTGAGCAGATTTAGGTAATAACTGAGTCAAGCAAGAGTTCCTGCAAAACAAACCAAATCAGAATCTAAATACTTCTGAAGATTCGCTATCATTTTAGATTCAGATGGACAAAGAGAACAGTGTGTCTTCAAAAATTGGTCCATTTCTCCATGGGGTGGAATGGGGTGAAGTTCTTTGACTGACAACTCTAGTTTCTAAACAGAGTGGATTATTTTATCAGTCTCTCTAATCCCAGTGCCTTTAGGAAGGAATGCTAAAATAATATGTTGCTGGGAGTGTTTCAAAGTTTTTTGCAGTTCCCTTTCTCAAGGGACAGAAAGTTAAATGTTGCTGTTTTTGTTGGTGTTTTTTGCTTGTTTGAGAGGTTTTAAGCACATGTCACTTTGAAGAGTATATGCCGTGTATGCAGTTGTAAAATGTTCAGGTCTTTCTTTCTCTGCCATTGTATGTTTCACATAAATCATCTACCCTGCTGTGTGGCACATTCTATACCTTTTGTGCCAACTTAGCCCTATACCTATCCTGAAATCTTCCAGGTTCTGTGTCCTTGCATGCCTCTGTGCCATTCCTTTTTCAGAGAAAAAGCCTCCATGTGAAATGGAGGATAGCAAATGAAAGTGAATCATTTTCCCATGTGTGAATATATCCCTTTGAAATAACAAAAATCTGGCCCATCTCCCTGAAATCTTATGTGTTTTCACTTTTCTGCTATATATCATTCAATGTGAAAAATAAATCTAAGAGGATTCATTGATAAACTATTCTGAGTGAACGATGGTTGGTTTTGTTTTATTTGTTTGTTTGTTTGTTTGCTTGCTGTATTTGTATACCACCCTTCTCAGCCCGCAGGCGACTCAAGGCGGCTTTATTTGACTTTACTGTTCTTCTTTCTTCTAGCGAAAGACCATGGTGACACCCCAGTGTTCTTCTACTTGTGGATCGTCTTCTATTTTATCAGCTCCTGCTACACCCTGATCTGGGATTTGAAGATGGACTGGGGTCTCTTTGATAAGAATGCTGGTGAAAATACTTTCCTGCGGGAAGAGATTGTGTATCCGCAAAAAGTATGTTGTATGCACATGTGTTTTGTAGAGATTTTGGTTTGAAACTGATTCATGAATGCAGTATGGAACTGTTGGCACATTTGTATTGGAGGGCACTGAGTGTATCTGTTTAAATCAATGAGTCTCGTTCAGTTTGAAGATTGGAGCTGTCCAAAAAGGTGTACTGAGATGGCGAGAAAGAGAAAAGTTAAATATGGTCAATAGGGAGTCAACATTAATTATTGGATTAGAAGGACAAAGGAAGCTTGTTGGTAGTCTCCTTTTCTCCACCCAGCCACCATAAGCTTTAGACCAGGCCTCTTCAATCTGTGGCCCTCCAGGTATTTTGGACTTTAACTCCCAGAATTCCTGAGCATTGAACAAGATGTCTAGGGCAGTGGTTTTCAACCTGTGGGTCCCCAGGTGTTTTGGCCTGCAACTCCCAGAAATCCCAACCAGTTTACCAGTTGTTAGGACTTCTGGGAGTTGAAGGCCAAAACATCTGGGCACCCACAGGTTGAGAACCACTGGTCTAGGGCTTCAGGGAGTTGGAGACCCCACCACCTGGAGGGCCATAGGTTGAAGAGACCTGCCTTAGACTATCTTGTTTGTTTGTATCTTAGCCTCTTTTCTTTCCAACATATCTATAGCTACCCTCGCTGACCTCTGATAGCATGAACCAAAACACAATACAATCCAAAAGTAGATCGTCACCTGGGAAATATCTGATATCAAGGCAAATAACTTAAGTAGCTACTGGGAGGAGGCAAATTAATTAATTAATTAATTTATTTATTTATTATTTAAAAGTTTTGTATACCCACCTTCTCACCTCTCTTGAGGGACTCAGACCGGTTTCCAACCATAAAATAACATACAGTCAATAATACATACAGCAAATGGTTCATTACTGGTACAGCAGTAAAAAGGTAGATAACCTACACAAAGCTTCATGTGAAAGCTTTCAAAATATAACTATTCTTTCCTCCAGCTCATCTTCTTCAGTGGAAATGTCGCATAGTTCATGTAGCCAAGTTATTGCTAAACAATGCACAATACAAGCAAGTATCTTCATCACTGTCATTAATTGTGTGCATCTATCTATCTATGGTATTTTTGTGTGAGTATGACCATCTGTGTGGAGCCAAATTCCTGGAGGTTATTTAGAAAACATACAGTATTAGAACAACAAACATACTATTTCACTGACAAACTATAGGATGTGCAGTTTTGATTGCCATTGAGTTCATGTATCATTGAACTGTTAGAAATGCATCTCACTTCCTGAACAAAAATTATACTTGATAGCAAAATAAGACAGCTGTTTTACCTGAAGGGAGACCTTATTAATTATGCTCTGTAAACAAATTGAAAGTTGGTTACCTCTTTTGCTCTGTACATTTTTGCAAAGAGTGTATCTGGGACATATTCTTGCCTTGAGTTACAATTCCTTCTTTCTATTTCCTCAGGCCTATTATTATTGTGCCATTGTAGAGAATGTGATTTTGCGATTTGCCTGGACTATCCAGATCTCTCTCACCGTCATGAAAATCCACCCTCATGTTGCGGATATCATTGGTACAGTGTTTGCACCACTTGAGGTTTTCCGGTAAGATGCATGAGTTAAAGTTAGAAGACTTTCCAGGCCCTATTTGTAAATAACCACAAGTGACTGTGTTTTTGTGGAAAAATAAGTTTAAAATGCGAATAGTTTTTGGAAGTGATAAAAGGCATTAGTTAGGGCCTTTTGCTATTCTATAACCTCTTATCTCTCCAATTCAAACTTTGTGGAATATGCCAGAACATTCAGTCAGCTGGTAAAGAGAACCACAGTATTCCCTTCAATATAAATTATGGAAGTTAAGCACATCTGTGGAAATTTAGCCTATGAAAATGCTACAGTTTCAAGACATCCAGTTGTTGTCTAGTATACACCATAAACAGGGCTGTTCAGGTAATTCATCATTTTGGTTCCACTTTTCTTCCAAGATGCTCACTGCATCCCGCCACCATGAAATGAAAGGTTTTCATGAGATACATTGTGTTCTCATACATTTCAGTATTACAAATTTATATATGTGCCCATATCTCTTATACGTGGTTGCTTTAACTTCCAGTTTGCTTGTGAAACCGAATTACTGTGTCACTAAGTGATACATGTCTAAAAGGCGTGTCACCAATGTGAAACGTTGCAGTGCAGAGCTTTCCAGACATTTCATGTTGGTGACACACCTTTTAGACATGTATCACTTAGTGACACAGTAATTCAGTTTCACAAGCAAACTGGAAGTTAAAGCAACCACGTATAAGAGATATGCTAGCATTTATTTTTAGCAAGTTTATTGTTAGCAAATTTTAGCACTCTTCAAAGAGATTGTGCCCATCATTGAGGCATTGTCCTGGGATCCCAATAATAGGTTGCTGTGTCATTCTATTGATCAGGTAACTATGATATTAGTTTAAGAGATATGATAATAATATATATATATATATATTATTTTTACCACCCTTTTCAGAGAAGCATAGATTAGTCTATTTATGATTTTTTCCCATTTCAAATGGCTTTTCTCTTTCATTTCAGCAACTGTGATGAAAGTTTTGTATGAATGTTTTATTTTTCTATATTTTTTAAGCTTATTATTGTCATTTTTTTCTGTAGGCGGTTTGTCTGGAATTTCTTCCGATTGGAGAATGAGCACCTGAACAACTGTGGTGAGTTCCGAGCGGTCAGGGACATCTCAGTCGCACCACTGAATGCCGACGATCAGACTCTGCTTGAACAGATGATGGACCAGGATGATGGTGTCCGAAATCGTCAGAAAAATCGGGCCTGGAAGCGTAGCCAGAGTCTGTCCTTGCATAGACCACGTCTTGCTTCACAGTATGTATTTTATAGATCTCTCTTACAACAAATGGAACAAAGTTGCATATCGTACCACCAATTCAAAGCTGGCTGTATGATACTGTGTTCTAACACCTAGTTTGCCATGGGTTTGTGAAAAACCCATGATATTTTTCACACTATCAAGGTTTAAGGTATATTTAAAAGAAGATAAAATCAATGTTAATTCACATAGCTTAGAAGCATACTAAAATAATGCTACACTACTATTGTCTATACCAGTGGTTTTCAACCTGGGGTCCCCAGATGTTTTTGGCCTTCAACTCCCAGAAGTCCTAACAGTTGGTAAACTGACTGGGATTTCTGGAAGTTGTAGGCAAAAACATCTGGGGACCCCAGATTGAGAACCACATAATTGTTGAACACATAATTTTTATACACATTATAGCTGCACATGAGGAAACATACAAAACCAAGGCTAAAATGATCAAAACTAGACATGTTCCAAGAAAAAAATAACTGTGATCAAATTGTGATCTATTACACAGTTATTAAACAAAAGGCCTGAGGGCCGAATCTGGCCTGCCATGTTATTTCATGTGGCCCTCCAGATGTTGGTCAAAAACTGCTTTATTCCTCCTTATTAGACATCATAAGAAGCCCCCGGTGGTGCAGTGGGTTAAAGCCCTGTGCTGGCAGGACTAAAGGCCGACAGGTCACAGGTTTGAATCCGGGGAGAGGTAGATGAGCTCCCTCTGTCAGCTCCAGCTCCTCATGCGGGGACATGAGAGAAGCCTCCCACAAGGATGGTAAAACATCAAAACATCTGGGCGACCCCTTGGCCACGTCCTTGCAGATGGCCAATTCTCTCACAACAGGAGTGACTTGCAGTTTCTCAGGTCACTCCTGACACGACAAAAAAAAATAATTAGACATCATGACTATAGCTGATGGTAATTGTGATACAGGAACATCTGGAAGGCTAGGAGCCTCCAGTGGTGCAATGGGTTAAATAAACCCTTGTGCTGGCAGGACTAAAGACTGACAGGTCACAGGATCGAATCCGGGGAGAACGTGGATGAGCCCTCCTGTCAGCTCCAGCTCCCCATGCGGGGACATGAGAGAAGCCTCCCACAAGGATGGCAAAACATCAAAACATCCGGGTGTCCCCTGGGCAAAATCCTTGCAGACAGCCAATTCTCTCACACCAGAACCAACTTGTAGTTTCTCAAGTTGCTCCTGACACACACACACACACAAATCTGAATGGCTGAGGTTTGCCCCATTTAGGCAGAAAAGTGAGATTTGAATTTAGATACAAAGCATGAGAATATGTTATATGAAAAACTTATTTCCACTCCTGATCTAATAGAAACAAATAAACATGGATCTTCAATGTATTGTCGAAGGCTTTCATGGCCGGAATCACTGGGTTGTTGTAGGTTTTTCCGGGCTATATGGCCATGTTCTGGAGGCAATTTTTCTCCTGACGTTTCACCTGCACCTCACTACCTCTGAGGATGCTTGCCATAGATGCAGGCGAAACGTCAGGAGAAAAATTGCCTCCAGAACATGGCCATATAGCCCGGAAAAACCTACAACAACCTAAACATGGACCTAATTAGATCTACATATAGGCAGTCCCTGGGTTACAGACAAGAAAAGTTCTGTAAGTTTGTTCTTAAGTTGAATTTGTATATAAATTGGAAGAAGTACATTTTTAACTAACTCCAGCCGGTTTGTGTGTAGTAGAGTTGGACAGCATAGGGAAGGGTTAACACCCCTGTGGTGTTTGTTTTGCTGTCTATGCCCCTTGTTCAGAAGATCTCACCTCAGTTTCTGTTCCTGTGACAATTGGATTTTGAAAGTTTTGGCTGGTTGTGGAAACAAGGATTGGTGAGAAGACTTCAGTGGCAACCCCTTTTCCCCGTGATAACTCTTCCAGGAGTTATTTTCCCTTCCGAGGGGTACACTTCCTCTCAGTTTCTGTTGACTAACCTCCATTCTTAACTATGTAAGTCGGATGCCTGTAACTCTGGGACTGCCTATATACTTCAATTCAACCTATATCAGTGGTTCCCAACTTTTGGACCTCCAATTGGTTTGGACTTCCAACTCCCAGAAATCCCAGCCAACTTACCAATTGTTAGGAATTGTGGGAGCTGTAGTCCAAAATATCTGGAGGGCCAAACGTTGGGAAATACTGACCTGTATACTTCAATTCAGTTTCACTGTTTCATATGTAATGTATTATCTAAGCCAGGGGTCCTCAAACGTTTTAATCGGAGGGCCAGGTCAGAGTCCCTCAAACTGTTGTAGGGCCGGATTATAATTTGAAAAAAACATGAATGCCTATGCACACTGCACATATCTTATTTGTAGTTCAAAAAACACTTAAAATAATACAATAATTAAAATGAAGAACAATTTTAGCAAATATAAACTTATTAGTATTTCAATATGAAGTGTGGGCCTGCTTTTGGCTGATGAGATAGGATTGTTGTTGTTGTTGTTGTTGTTGTTGTTGTTGTTGTGTGCTTTCAAGTCGTTTCAGACTTAGGTTGACCCTGAGCGAGGGCCAGGTAAATGACCTTGGAGGGTCATATCCGGCCCCCGGGCTTTAGTTTGAGGACCCCTTTTCTAAGCTGTAGTCAGATAGGTACATTCCCATTTCTTCATCCATAGTCTCATAAGCCAAAATGGGGATTGCTTTGAGGACATCCTGCAGCTTTTAAACATCAGCTTGCCTATACCACATAAACCATCAATGGATTTCAAATGGTTTTGGAAAACACTATTTTTGTCTAATAGATAATGTTTACATAAATTGTTCATCCTAGTAGAGTAGATCCTTTGAGCCAGTAGACTGTACGCAAGTGTTGACCGACCAAATAGCTCTTTTCTAGGTGGGTGGGACTAACAGATTTGAGTCTTTCACCCTTGTTTCTTTTCTTTTTTTTTTTAACTAAAATTTTTATTGGTTTATGGTGCATACAGAAAACGAAACCGACACCAGAGGAAAACAGAAACAAATAGAAAACAAACAAAAAAAAACAGAAAAGAAAAAAAGGATATACAAAAGAGTATGCAAGTTTACAGAATAATATACAGTCAGTGCTCATTAAACATATGAAAAATCAACTTTGACTGTACAGTTATAATACATTAACATTTATTGTCCCTTTAACCCCACACCCGTGAACCCAACCCCCGTGACCTCCGACACCACTCTGTGTGGATCACATAACTAACCTACAACTACCCACATGTTTTCTTTCACTGAATCCCCTTTATGGCGATCTTCAAATCTACTTTTGTCTTTTTTTCGAGATATCCAATTGCCAACCTCCATTTTATAACAAATTCTTCATTATTTCCTCCTCTGCTGCTATTTGTCAGTTTGGCCATTTGGATATAATCTACTAATTTATCTCTCCAATCCTTTAGTTATCTGTTTTTCCCCCTTCCATGTTTTAGCTGTTGTTAATCTTGCAGTGCCAAAACAATACTGACAGATTTCTTCATTTCCTGCGCTAATATGACCTCTAAATATTCCCTTGTTTCTTTTGTCAGCCCACATTTCCCTAATTTGGCATAAACTGGGTTGTAGTAGGCTTTTTTTGGGCTATAAGTTCATGTTCTAGAGGCATTTTCTCCTGACGTTTCACCTGCATCTATGGCAAGCATCCTCACTACCTCTGAGGATGCTTGCCATAGATGCAGGTGAAACGTCAGGAGAGAATGCCTCTAGAACATGACCATATAGCCCGAAAAAACCTACTACAATCCAGTGATTCTGGCCATGAAAGCCTTCGACAATACATTGGCATAAACTGTTTTATCTCTGTTCTTTTCCTATGAGCAACTATCCAGCAGAGGGAGCTGTTAACATGCACTGACTATTGGTTTGTTACCATAGAGCTAACTATACCTATTCCTTGTGTTTTGGCCCTGTATGGAAACATTTCCCTCTTCAGCATTGTTTAATTTATGTTTTCACAGGTCCAAGTCCCGTGACACCAAGGTGTTAATAGAAGACACAGATGATGAAGCAAACACATGAAACACCTACAGAATCAAGTTCCACAATCCTTGTGTTCTTTACTACCTTTCCCCTCCCCATTCCCAAACCATCCCAACCTGTTGTGTAGTTTCAGCTGAAAACAGGAGAAGAATCTGAACACACTCTCTGAGCTCTTCCGGACCGGATCCTATGGACTCCACCAAGCTCACTGTGTTTTCTTTTCTTTTCTTCTGGTTTTAAATTGAGTTGTTGTTTTTAAAATAAAATGTAACTTCGTTTTGCCAATCAGAGGGACACTAAAGGAACGAACTGTCTTAAAAGATTGTTTACAATCTCTACAAGGACAAATAATCTGGATGAAAAAGCCTCATCGGGACTCCCTCATGGGATGGACTCTACCGAGAACTCACTCAATCTTTGGTCAGTCCAGTTTTGTCTGGTTGAAACTGGATCTGCGTTTTTAACTCTGGCTCGCGCTCTGGTTTTTTGGTGTTATCCTTCATATCCAGCGCCAAGGCCCTGGCTGCACTTGCCGGGAAAGTGCACTTAGAGCAGTACCTTCATTCACGAAGCTACTTTATAATTTGATGTAACTGTCTTATAATTTTTTTGAAATATGATGTATTTGTTGCACATAGTTTTCACATTATTTATGATAGTTAACAACCATATGAGAATGGTTTTGAGTCCTGTGCAATGAAGATGGTAACTCTCTAAAAATAAGGCAAGTGGTGGGGGGGAAGGGGATGTAGACCCTGGATCTCTCTTGCTGCAAGGTTAAGCCCTTTAAAATACCTCTTTGATTAGAGAACTTGCACCGGTTTAACCTGGCTTATTTTTCCCCTTTTTTCTGTTTAATTTAAACCAAAGTTTCTTTAGTGGGTTTTACTTGTTGCTGCTGGTGATGGTCCCTGAGAAAGCTGGGCACCTTTCTTAGCCAGTTCATCCATGTGTTCGTAACTGTGCAGAAATGGTATCAATTATTTTCAGTTGAAGGAAGGTTAGTGCGAATTAATCCGGTGCAGTGCATCAGATAACCATGCAAAAAATAAAACAAAAGCCTTTGAAGGCTGATAGTTTTCATTTTAATGAGCTGAATAGGGTATCATCCCATTCTTAAAATCGGGAGCTCCTGTATGATTTTGTTCACTTCAGGTAGATAATAGAGAAAAGGGAGAGAGGAGAAGGTCTGCCTTGTTGGGGAACGGGAACGATGCCTTCATCCGTTCGTATGAGGTAAGGCAGATGCACATGAGCTTGTCACTTAGGTAAGCAGGAGGCAGCGTAGTCTCCAAGATTGAGGAAGTTGGTATTGCAATAGAAAGGGCTCTTTAACATTTTTTTAAATAAATAAAAAATAAACTTCTGCCATACTCTGGCAAAGTCTGACAATCACTGGCCAAGACCATCCTCAGGTTAGCTTTTGTTTCATTTGTTTTAACCCTATCTTCCCCAAATCTTAACTGTCCATCTTAGTGCTAGGCGTAACTTGTACAAGCATTATGAGTGGCATTGCTAGTTGGATTTAGGGTTAGATGGCCGTACAGCTTAGGAAATGCTTTAGTCAACATTTTCCAGCTTGATTATTATTTTTAAAATTCCATATTAGCCTCAAGAGCCCGTAGGATAGAGCAGCATGAATGTCTAAGATGACCATATCCGCCCGTTGTAGTCGCAAGCCTGTGTTGTGTGTGCCAAGCCTATGTGCTGAATGTTAGCAAACGAAATCTTATTTGTGCTCTTTGACACAGTTTGTGCCGTGTGTGAGGTCAACACCATATAGTGGAAGAAGATACTTCAATTTTCCTTAAATCTGTCTCTTATCCAAGACTCTACAGCAAGGACTGTTTTGTCTTCTTTTAGCCCTTTCATGCTTATTCATTGCTCCCTTGGAACTGCCTAGGGGTCCTAAACCAGAGTCCCACTTTTTTGGCAAAGAGGTTTCCTTCTTAATCCTCTTTCTCAAGTTCATCATTGTGCTTATTAAATAGTTGTTTGGTATCCACTTATCATTCCCCAGCCAGTCACAACATTTATTTTTATAGGGCAACTGTGGTTTTTTGAAAATAGTAGCGCAGAGAAATTAGGGAATTAAATCTATTAATCTTACATGGAGCAAAATAACTGAGAGGAAAACTTGACGATTGCAACTCTTTAGTATTGTGTTTCTGAAACTGTGCTCTTCCGGTGTTTTTGGACTTCAGCTCCATGATATCCCAGCTGTTAGGAATTGTAGGAGCTGAAGTCCAAAACATCTGGAGGAGCACAGTTTGAGAAACTCTGCTCTAGTGTGGTGTTAGAACCACAAAGTGGGACTTCAGGTCATATTGACTCAATGTGCATTCATTTTTCAAGAGATCTGCTGGAAAACAATCCTAAATTTGATTTTGTTAGAAGCCCAAGAAAAGACCATTTCTGTGGTGACAGTGAACTTGTGTGTTCTTAACTTTTCTATTCTGTAACAAGAAACAGCCTGCTCCATTACGATGAACTGTAATCTGGTGTACAATGATACATGTCCCTTTTCAGACTAGGAATTGCCCAACTATCCATGCCTTTTTTGATCAGACATGATGTCTACAATTAAGGTAATTTCTTAAATACAGTACAAATTCTGTATCTGTGGGACCAGTACTGCGGTTTTGCTTACCCACATTCAACAAATTATATCCTTTCTAGGAGTTTTCTAAATCCTCTGGGTGATTCTATGGTATACATCCAACAGTTACCATAGAGTTGTCCTGGAGGGCCTAGAAAATACCTAGAGAGTTAATTTAAGGTGGACATGGTTCATTTTGGTAGAATTCATTATTTCCAGTTTCCATGTACATTCAAGAATGTATCCTCCTGGGGTTACAAGGGACTTACTGTATTTCAAGTGTTTTTGTAAATAGTAACTGAATAATGGCAACTACTTTTCCATTACAGTAAGATGTCAAGCAATCATGTGTCATCTTCCAGCCGTGTGTTCGATACTGAAAATAATTACCAGTTTGTACAGAAAGATCTTGGCAGATTAATTGACTGTGTGGGGACTAAGCAGACAGTGCAGCTGACACTAGAAAATCTCAACAGCCAAATTATCTGGGATAGAATAAAGGAGTGGCTGAGGCTGGAAACAGCAAGTTGGTATAAAGAGAACTCGAAATGGGAATTCTGTGTGTGCAAAGTTCATTTGGTTGCAGTGCTGCCTCAGATCAAAAAGGTTTTTGAAAAATTACAAACTTGAAACACCCTGAATACTAGTCATGAATGTAGGGATGGATATATTCAACAAGCAACAGGGCCTCTTTCATTCCATTACTAGCATGTTCAGAAAGTCTGTTGTTTCCAACCCAATATGTCTAGTTATTTTTGCGGCTATATCTAGTGAATTCTACCAGGTCTGCTGCTTTGATTTGAATACAGTGAAGTAGACTTCACTTTCCAACATGAAACAGGCATTTAACACAAAATCCAAGGTTGTTTTTCCTCATTTGGCTGCTTTCTGTCCATCCCCTGTGATGGTTTCCAAATATGGGGAGCAGCCAGAATCATTCTGCATCTCTGAAATTGGGCTTCATCCTCAGTTACAGCAAAGATCAACTCAAAATACTGCTATTTGTACTCAAAATGTTGCTATTGTCCCACTTAGTTCATTTTCTTGACTGTCAAGCAAGCAGAGGCTCTGTGTTTGCTGGAATTGGAAGCCTATCGTTTGGAAAAGTTGCAAAGGATCTCTGTAACCAACTGTCTTGTTTCCATCCTTATTGTAAACTTTTGTGAATTATTTGAAGAAAATCATATTAGAAGGTGGAACATTTTGTCTAAATGACTTCTTAGGAATACTGGGTTTCTAGGAAGCATAGTTTTTCCACGGAGATATTTCATAATGGAGCACATGCTTCCTTGAAAAAGAATTAACACCAAAAATCTTTGCCAGCATCACATTGTATGGACTGTTGGTGTCCTTTAAACTGAGTGTTTCCTTTAGCCCTGTTGTCTGGGCTTTCTGTGAGCTATTGTCCAGAATATCTGGAGGACCAAAGTCTGAGACCCATTACCCTAGAGCACTCCTCCACATCAAATGCAATCTGCAAGGATTATTCAGCAATAGGGTTTCTTGAAGATTAGGAAGTTTGAAAGCAACTGATCTAGATTTTCTCAAGCTTCTCCACACAGATGAGGTTCACTGTTTTGATTACACATGAATTTTGTATCGCAAAAAAAGGAGCGATGGAAACATCACTGATGATGAACCATAACATTTCACTGATAAACATCTGCACTGGGAAAGAGAGAATGCAACTAGGGCATGTATATTCCAGCAGTAAAATGTAGTTACTCTTTGTAATAACTCCCTTGTTTTCGAATGCAAAGAATGCCAGAGTTTTCCAACAGGAACATTCAGAGCATGGACTGAAATCCCTTTTCCCCTTATCATTGCAGGTGTGGCCCCTGAAAGTAAGTCTTGGAGATTAGTTAAACTTGAGCTGGATCAGGTAATCTCTCTATTATTCAGTGTCCTCTCATCTTTTTACAAGACATCAATCAGGGCTTTTTGGGAGGATCATTCTGCCTTAAACAAAAGTTCACATTTCTGGCTCAGGTGGTTCTGAGAAAGGGGAATAAATACCACTTTAAGCAGAGAAAGGAGTGATAGCTTTTGTAACATTTCTATCCAACATGCTGCTTCTTATAACAAAGCTTACCCCACCAGTCAGATGGCTCCAGAGGGATGTCACACATCTGGAGGCAGGATAGATACCCCACTTCAGTAATATTGTCAAATGGGAGTATAAAAGAGTTCTGGCGCTTTGGTTTGAGAAAGTGCAAAACAACTCCCCCTTCCTCTTTTTTCACTGCTGGAGTAAATATGGGGCAAAGGGAACTCCAGATTTGATAACTAAGCTACAAATTGTACTTTCCTGTAAATCTGTACAGGTCCGTAAGTTTGCTCCTTTGGCATTCCCCAACATATTTACCTTCTAGTTTCGTATCCTAATGATTTCTCTGATGGGGCCTGGAGGTGACAATGGTTTTGCCTTCTATTTCACACTTTTGCCCTGCTGCTATCTTTTGCCTCTTCCTCATTCCCATTCCTTTCCACCCTTCCAGTGTGTTGGTCTACTTGATGATTATATACTATGAAGCCCTGAACTGTAGGTGTCAGAAGTAACTATGGAATGTGATTTCGTCCTCTTGTGGGTGCTTTTCTCTTTACTTTCTTCCTTTCTCTATACCTTTTCCATGCCTCTTTCGGCTCAGTGGAAAAGGTGAGGACAAAGACTTGCCGCTTGCTTGGACTCATGATGATGTTTTCTGTGATTGCGCTATTAGCTGTCTCCTCCCTCCCCTACTCCCCCCAAATGGATATAAGACTTTCTGAAGTGTGGAATTAACTTTCTTGATAAGTAGGTTTAAAAATGCACAATGTGGTACTGTTTCATAGTTCCTAGATGGTTGTATTAAAACAGTTAATGTGGTTTGTGTTTTTAAAAGGACAAAAAGTGATTGATTTATTAATCTGTCTTTTTCATTATTACAAGCTTTGTTTTCCAATTACTTCTTGCCTCTTTTGTTATTTCGAAGGTGTGTATGTCTGTTCCTGCTTTGAAATGCTTTTATTATTGATATTTTTAAAAAATAAATTAAAATGTCAAAAGTTAAAGAAAAGTAAGAAATGCAAGAAAGAAGAAAAGAGCAAAAGAAAAAAAAGAAAAATACAGACTTCAGATTTTCCTTTCAATGGTTTTATGTGCATATGGAGGAAAAAAGGGGAAAAAAAAGGAAAAATACAGACTTCAGATTTTCCTTTCAATGGTTTTATGTGCATATGGAGCCCCCGAGGGCTCAGTGGGTTAAAGCTCTGTGCCGGCAGGTCACAGGTTCGAATCCGGGGAGAGGAGGATGAGCTCCCTCTATCAGCTCCAGCTCCTCATGCAGGGACATGAGAGAAGCCTCCCACAAGGATGATAAAAACATCAAATCATCCGGGCATCCCCTGGGCAACGTCCTTGCAGACGGCCAATTCTCTCACACCAGAAGCGACTTGCAGTTTTCTCAGGTCGCTCCTGACACGACAAAAAAATCATTAAATATGCATATAATTACTCATACCTCTTTCTTTAAACATTATAGAATATTCTCATCTTTCAATGTGATCATTTCAATTCATAATCATTCTATAATCATCAGAACCCCAAATTACCATTTTTCCTTGCAAAGAGTCTATAAGGGGTTTCAGATTATTAAGAAATATCACCAACGACTTTAATGTATTGTCAAAGGTTTTCATGGCCGGAATCACTGGGTTGTTGTAGTTTTTCGGGCTATATGGCCATGTTCTAGAGGCATTTCTCCTGACATTTCGCCTGCATCTATGGCAAGCATCCTCAGAAGTAGTGAGGTCACTACCTCTGAGGATGCTTGCCATAGATGCAGGCAAAATGTCAGGAGAGAATGCCTCTAGAACATGGCCATATAGCCCGAAAAAACCAACAACAACCCAACTTTTATTTATTTATTTATTTAAAAAATGTTATATCCCGATTTTCTCACCTCCGTAGAGGAACTCAGACCGGCTTACAGCAAGGATTCAATGCTACTAATACAAGTTAAAACATCATACAACAATACAAGATTAAAATACATATAGATAAAATACATATATACCAAATCGCCAAGGTAAAATCATGTTCAACTCAGTCTGCATATGTGGTCACTCACTTTGGTCTGTAACCAGTCTCAGCCATTATTCTGGGAATGCTTCATTCCATAACCAGGATTTCACTAGCCCCCTAAAGGACAAGAGGGAGGGGGCAATCTAATCTTGCTCAGGAGAGAGTTCCATAGCCGAAGGGCCACCACAGAGAAGGCCCTGTCTCGTTCCCACCAAACGAGTTTGCAAAGGTGGTGGGACCGAGAGCAGGGCCTCTCCGGAAGATCTTAACATCCTTGATGGTTCATAGGGGAGGATACATTCGGACAGGTGAACTGTACATCTATTATAACTTTTCTATTATCAAAACACTAGCTGTCCCTTGCCACATGCTGCTATGGCCCACATGGGGGTTCTGTGTGGGAGGTTTGGCCCAATTTTATCGTCGGTGGGGTTCAGAATGCTCTGTGATTGTAGGTGAAATATAAATCCCAGCAACTACAACTCCCGAATATCAAGATTCTATTTTCCCCAAACTCTACCAGTGTTCACATTTGGCCATATTGAGTATTCGTGCCAAGTTTGGTCCAGATCCCTCATTGTTTGAGTCCACAGTGATCTCTGGATGTAGGTGAACTACAACTCCAAAACCAAAGGACACTCCCCACCAAACCCTTCCAGTATTTACTGTTGGTCATGGGAGAACTGTGTGCCAAGTTTGGTTCAATTCCATTGTTGGTGGGGTTCAGAATGGTCTTTGATTGTAGGCAAACTATAAATCCCAGCAACTACAACGCCCAAATGATAAAATCAATTTTTTGAGTGAAGGACATACATTGGGTTGTTAGGTGTCTTGTGTCCAAATTTGGTGCCAATTCGTCCAGTGGTTTTTGAGTTCTGTTAATCGCACAAACGAACATTACATTTTTATTTATATAGATTTTGTGCATTTCTATGAAATGTATCAGCTTCAGTGACCAGTTTACGTAGTATTAAATTCTTCCATCTCTTCTTAAGTTCTGTTGCTGTGCTCATATACTAATAATAATCTTTCTTCTCTTTCCCGACCCATGATTCCAAAAGGGAAACGTCCCAGTTCTAATTGAATATCAGTCTTTAAAATAAATAAAACATCTATATTACATTTCCAACATAATTAAATAGCTTTATCCGCTTGCTATTGCTTCCAGTAAATCCACTATCAAAACATACTGTCTAAAATACAAAGATTATTATAAGCAAGACATTCTTCACATTCATCACATAAATTCTCCTTAACAATGAATCCTTCCATCCTTTTCAA